GTACACTTTCTGCTACAAGTGTTAATATATTGTATGCCTTCGATGAACTCAAAAGTGTCCCGAAGCCATCACAGTTTCGAGAATATCAGCTAACCATTGTGTTGCTGAATGATAGTAAAAACCTGACATATCTGGAACTGGATGGAGTGGAAGATCAAGCATGAAACCTCAATATTACCCATTGGTCAATGTTCACATTGACTGGTTTAAAGTGTCGCGAGACATAAATTCAACAAAATGATGAAAGCCACAAGAAACGCAGAAAAGTAGATGTAGTCTGGTGATTGGAAATTTTAACAGCCCAGTGGTTTAACCAGGTTGCCTCATAACTTGAGCAGTATAAAAAGGTGACAGGAAGATTACTTATTGAAATGCAGAACATTTTTTCGCTTGATATGTAATTGACTTTGAAATCGTTCCAAGCTATTTTGTAGATTATATTATTTTGTCCAATTGGGTCACAAGTTCGTTTCCTCTACACAGCTTTTCTCAATGAGTTAGCTTTTAGGATCAAATGCTATCCTAATTCATGTTTTGTTAACAGTAATATGTAAACTTTCAATGTCTCTTCCCTGAACGATACAACTGTAGATATCTTAAAATCTTCCTTATTTATGTTATGGTTAATTGTTCCACTACTATTTCTCCTTTTGTTGTGATCTTTTTTTGACCTTTACAATAAATTTTACAGGATATTTACTTGGCACCAATGCTTCTTCTATCCATTTCATTTCATTATTTAGGTTTTTTAATGTACAACTTAGAGGAATTTCTCGGTATGTTAGACATTTGAATAACCCTGTCCTTACAGATAACGAATGAGATGAGACATGATTACCTGTCGCGTCTTTTTGAGCTCTACATGACAATGAATCTACATAAGGTAGACCTCAGGAAAGCAAAGTCACCCAGTCAGCACACCACCAATTGATTTCTCAAGTGTCACCTAGTCATTCTCTTTTCTCCAGAATCATCCACTGATGTTAATGAATATCTTACCTTCCACTCAGTATAGGTAACTATGCCAATTTTAACACAGATAGTCGAACTGTCAGTTCTACATGTGGTTGTGAGTGTGCATTGTTAGGCAATCGCAAACTGGAATGACTTAGCCGTACCATTTCTCATGATTCATTGTAGTTCTGGAACTGATGTCACCCGTAAAACAGTCAATTCTGCGAGCAGGTCAGAATTGCACTTGTTTCATCCAATAAATACCAGAATGTCTAACTCCTCCTAAACTTATACAAACGATTGAGTCACTCAATTTATCCGTGAAATAAACTTTGGAAATACTTAATTCATTGAGAAAATTACTGATTCAACATCTTTTTAACAAGCTTTGGTTTTCAGGGATTTCAATGATTTCAAATTTTGTCACATAATGACCTCAGTTCTGGTGAGACTTCGTAAGTAGCTGTGTCCACGAAGGATACTCACCGATGATGAAGGCTAGCTGTCAGGTTACATATCGTATACTGACAAAAGTTATAATTCATAGATTGCTGAGTTCTGTTCGACTGACAGAATCATCGACTAGCTCACCTCGTACCCTAAACATCCTAGGTTTGATCCTTAGTCTTGAGGTTCTAGTGTACCTTGAACCTTTGGACTTTTGTTTCAACGCATTCACCCACCTTTGACGCTACTTCATCTTTAGATTGGCAACTCGCCTGTACGTACTAGGTTCACTCTCTCGTTGTGCTTTCATCCAGTTCAATCTTCAAGCCCACCACCAGTCGAGGCATCAGATAAGTTGTATAACAGCTTTATTTATTAAATTTGATATTTCATTTGTGTAAAACACAACTCCGTCCCGACTCACTTCCTGTCTCAAATCTTTATACTCTGATTTCGTTTATCAGTACTTACACGTTAGGTAGAGTACTGCTAAGTTCATAAAGCGGGGAAGTTTTTAGCAAGTGTGGTTATTTGAGGTCTATCTTAAGTTTAACCATAACACTTACAAGGTTATAGGATGCGTACCGCTGAAGAGCCTAAAACCAGAACCGGAAAGCTGTCGAGTACTCCCTAGTGGTCTTTGCTGATTTCAGTGTTTCTGAAAACATAAAGTGGAGCATGACAGATGGAGTATCCAGTGTTACTTCATTCTAACAGTTGAGTACATCTACTCATTGTATCTTCAGTAGAGAGGGTTTATTGACAGTTTGAAAAGCCTCCTTGGTGTGTAACCCTGTAAACCCTTCTGTGTCGAGGACATTTACCTTACTATTATGGTTATTATTATTTTTGAGGAAAAAGAAAAGAGGAGAGTAGACAGAATAGAAGTTAATCAATAATGTTAAAATGTTCAAAATGTCGATGAGTCATTGAAGTATTAAGCGCTAATTAACTCTAATCACTATTTAAATATTTGAATGAATTTCAACATTAATGAAAAGAATGATTCATCATTTTATTTCATGAATTAAAGAAAATCCATTTTTATTTACATGGAAGTAAAACGTTTGAGTGATTTTGAGATAATTATCAAAGTTTAGAAAAGACTGAGAGCAAGTGGTATATTATTTCTCCTGTCTATATACTACTTTTTCGATACTGTGAAGAACTTCTCTAAGAATTAATAATGACAGATTTTAACGACTTTAAGCAAAACCATAACAATAACATATAGAGTAGGATAAAACAGATTTACTGTTTATTTCTTCAGTAGATATCTTGAAATCTGCGAATAACCCGAATAATGAAAGTTAGTAGTTCTATTCAAGTTCTTACACGCTTCGGTACATTGGAGATAAAATGGATGTAACCTGATTTATGTACTCCTAAAGAGGTAAGAAGAATTATTCTGTCCCTTAGTAACATGTTTTTAACCTCATATGTTAAGAAAAAGGAAAGAAAAACAAAACAATGGGCTGGTCAATTCAAAGAACTTTCGAGTTTAACATCACTTCCAACTCACCTAGAAATAACACCTCCACCAACAGCACGCAAAGAACCGTCTGTCAGTGGATACGAATCCTCCAACAAAATTAGGAATCCTAAATACGATCAAGCTACTGAAAGTCGACCAGGAAAGCAGCAGGACTAGATGGAAATTCCCCTCGAAGCACTGAAAACAGACTCAGAAACTGTGGCAGATGTGTTCACGCCATTATTACAAAAGATTCGGAAAGAAGGAAAGGTGCCTGCTGACTGGAACAAAGGCTATCTCTTCAAGCTGCTAAAGAAGGGTGACTTGGATCTGTGCAAGAATTGACGTGGAATCATGTTTTTGTCCACGCCAAGTAAATTACTAAATCGCATCATCCTGGAGAGAAAAAATTGACGCACTTCGATACCGAAATCAAATTGCAATTCAACTCATTGTCATTTCAGATCTAAGCATAGAATGGTAATCAAATCTCTATCACAACTTTGTCAATTTCGAAAAGGCCTTCGACAGACAGTGTTGACGGAGAAGAAATTTGGAAACTATCTCAACCTCATTCAACAGCTATATGACAATGCCTGCCACGTTTCAGGTGATCCATAACGGAAAGCTCAATGAGACATCTGAAGTAAAGACAGGAGTAGGAAAAGGCTGCCCATCACTATCACCGATGATATTCCTAATTTTGATGGACTGGATTATGTGTTAGACTTTGGGAAGTGAGAAGGCAGGAACATGCTGAACCACCAATAACAGGACTCTAGAAGACCTGGAATTTGCGTGTGGATGGTTTATGTTTAATGCCACACTAACTCGAAGACTTGCAGGCAGGCGATAAACAGCAACTGGCTAAAGATGCAGGCAGCAAAGACAGGACTGCAGGTGAACCTAGAGGAGACGGAGGTAATCAAGATAACTAAAGACCAACAATAATGACGATCTATGGGAAAGATTTAAGAGAGGTTACTTCCTTTACTAGTCTACGAAGCATCGTTTCAACTATGGATGAAGATGTCAAAACCAGAATCGGAAAGTCAAAGTACCCCTTCAAAACTCTGAAATCAATGTGGAACTCTTCTGCACTTAATCACCATTGAGAACAAGACTCGGATTTTCAAGACATGGGTTTGAAACTAGACCAGTGCGTCATGAAAAGCATTTTCAACAGGTTACTGCAGAAGTTTGTCAATACCTACCTTTGCGCTATATTGAGGATCAAATGACCAGAAACAATTAGCAGCAAGCCTCTCAGGCTGGGTACAAAACAACCAAGAACTGACTGCTCAACAAATATGCAGAATAAAATGCAGATAGACCGAACATACATTGAGGAGACTGTCGAATGACATCACGCGCAATGTAGGCCATCACTTGAGTGGAATCCGAATAAGGAGCCCCGAGTCCACCATTAGAACTAAGGTGACATGGAGGAGATCATGTAGTGAGGAGGAAATTAGAGATTACAGTCAATCGTGCGGCGAGCTTGGGAGGACTGCAAAGAATAGGACAAAGTGGAGATATGTTTCTGAAGACTTATATTCCACTCGGAACCCAAGAGAAGAATGGTAATAACAATTTAAGAAACGTAAATTTTGATTTCCTTCCACTCCTACTCAGTTGCATTATAATTTATTAAGCGTCATGCTTCAAGCATCTGATATCTAACCAAATGAGCTTAACTCACAATATTTTTTTCATATCTCATTTGTTTAATAGCAGTTTTCTAATGACTTACATAATCTTATAAATTATTCTATCAATATCTTGTTGCCACCCTTGCTGGATATTGTTTTATCTGATTCGAGGATCTATCTTTCCATTCATTGCAAGCATAAAGAACAAAGCCGAGACACAAATCAACACTAGCGAAAATGTCAGCGTCGAAAAGCACTGGAACAACTTGAAAACGGTGTGGAGTCAAACCTGCATAGAAGTTCTAGGCAGAAAAAAGAGACAGGACAAACAGTGGCTCACTACGACACTTGGAAACTAATAGAAGAGAGAAGGACAGTGAAGCAAAAGATTATCCAGTGCACTGACGAGCAAAAAAAACAGGAGCTGAATGCAAGCTACAATACACTGAACAAAAGAGTGAAGAAGAGTGCCAGGGAAGACAAAAGAAAATATTATGAAACCATGGCAAACGAAGCAGAACAAGCTGCAGGCAAAGGAGACCTCGCCACACTCTACCAAACAACTAGGAACCTTTCGGGCAAACGTTCGACACAGATTAAGCCAATAAAGGACGACAATGGAAAGTCAATCACCAAAGAGGTGGAACAGAGAAAGCACTGGGTTGAACACTTCAAAAGACTTCTAAATCGTCCGCCACCTACAACGCGCCCAACAATACCAACAACGGAAGCAGAACTACCAGTGAACACTGACCCCCCGACGAAATCAGAAGTCCTGAATGCAATCAAGATGCTTAAAACTGGGAAAACACCGGGACCAGATGGAATCCCAGCAGAGGCTTTGAAAATAGACCCAGAGACAACAGCGGACTTGATGACACCACTGCTGGAGAAGGTGTGGAAAGAGGGCAAAGTACCCGAGGATTGGAAGAACGGATACTTATTCAAACTTCCAAAGAAAGGAGACTTAAGTCAATGTAAAAACTGGCGTGGAATTATGCTTCTGTCCATTCCAAGCAAGATACTAAGTCGCATCATCCTGGAGAGAATCAAACAAGCCCTAGATGAAAAACTTCGTCCGGAACAGGCTGGATTCAGGAGAAACAAATCATGTATTGATCAAATCGCCACTCTACGGATCATCATTGAACAAAGCTTGGAATGGCAGTCACCTCTCTATCTCAACTTCATCGACTTTGAAAAGGCCTTCGACAGCGTCGATCGAGAGGTCATTTGGAAACTACTTCGCTACTACGGGGTCCCATCGACAATTATACACCTCATCCAACAGTTATACGACAATGCTGCATGCCAAGTAATCCACAACGGGAAACTTACGGAAGCCTTCGAAGTGAGGACGGGAGTGAGGCAAGGCTGTCTACTATCACCAATGATCTTCCTGATTGCAATTGATTGGATAATGCGACAGACAACGGCAACCAACGAGGGAACAGGCATAAAATGGACTGACACAAAAGACTTGGAGGATCTGGATTTCGCCGATGATATATGTCTGATTTCCCATAAACTGGAAGATATGCAAGTGAAAAGTAACAAGTTGGCAGAAGAAGCATCAAAGATAGGACTTCACGTGAACATAGATAAAACAGAGGTGATGAAGATTCCTGGCCAACACCAACAGCAACAACAACAGACAACAATCAGCATAAATGGGAAGAACCTGAAAGAAACAACCTCCTTCACCTACCTGGGAAGCATCGTCTCAACTACAGGCGGAACTGACGAGGATATCAAAGCCAGAATCGGAAAAGCAAGACAAGCTTTCATTACTCTCAAATCTGTGTGGAGGTCAACAGCACTCAGCATCAAAAATAAGATCCGGATTTTCAACTCCAATGTAAAGTCAGTGCTACTATACGGATCAGAGACTTGGCGAGTCATAAAGAGCATCTCAAACAAACTTCAGACCTTCATTAACAGCTGTCTTCGCTCAATACTCAAGATCAGATGGCCAGAAAAGATCAGCAACAGGGATCTCTGGGAGCGAACCAATCAGGAACCGATTGTGAAACAAATAGGCAGGAAGAAATGGAGATGGATTGGCCATACGCTGAGGAAACCATCAAGTGACATCACACGCCAAGCCATCGCTCGAGTGGAACCCGAAAGGGAGGCGGCGAGTTGGTCGTCCAAGAGTGACTTGGAGGAGGTCATGCGAGGAGGAGATGAAAGTATGTGGACAGACCTGGAGCAGGGTGAAAAAGTTGTCAGAAAACCGAAGACAATGGAGGTGCGCAGCTGAAGCCCTATGTTCCTCTAGGAACTAAAGGATACAATAATAATAATAATCTTCCCATTACTTACGTAAATAAGTAGAGCAGTATTTCCATTTTGATTCATCTGTATACCATGATCCTTCTGAACTGTAGCTCCAAATCTTCTCTCCAATGAACTAAAGTAGGTTGAAACTGTAACAAAACTATTAACTTTTATCATCCGGATTGTATGCTGCTGACATGCTCCATAAGTGATTTTTAACCAGGTAACATACTACTGAACTACTACTAAATTAAGAACAACAGAAATAGCTAGAAAACATGAGCTAACTTTTTCTTATTTCAAAGATTTTTTTTCAACTGCCTACAACCTGAACAACACTTTATTATAAATTACGAAAAACAGATTTGAACATACTTTGTACGAGATGACAAGGAGTAATTAATAGAAACTCTGAGGAACATTAAACCGCAATGATGCAAGTAATTTAATTACCAAGTGATAGAAGGATTGACTATTTGTAAGATAATAAGACCGAAATTCTTGAAAAATGGCAGACTTCAAAGTTTATGTATAGTGAGAGATTGAGTAACCATAAAAAGGTAAGGTGAGTTACGCTCATATGAATAAATGAAATATTCTCAACAAAACAGAAGTTGAAGAAAAATACAAGATATAATGGAGATTGTATAAATTTTCTATTGTAAGTTTCGTCATTAAGGCAGTGTAAAATACATCGGTCTCCATTTGCATACATAGATTTGATTTTGATAGTTTAATGTCGAACGCCTGGGGAAAATATAGAGATGTAGGTTTCAAGTCTGACCATGGATTGATATCAACCAGAGACCTATTGATAACCAAGGAGTATTGGACAGCTCTTTCATCCCGGTACCACACTCGTCGGCAGACCGCAAGAACTAGCTTTAAAACAAATGAAATCCCTTAAAATAACTCTGAAAACCCAACCTATATTTTGCTTGCGGATTATTTTGAACGCCTGCAGATTGTACAAAGCATAAAAAGTTTACAATAGGTAGCTCCTAATCGCACTGTTTAATATGTGTGGAAAACTTGGGCACTGTGGTAGTAAGGAGCTCCATAATAGTTTGTTTATTAAATGTATCACACAGTGAGTGAAACACTATTATTTACTGGATGACGAAGTTTCGAACAAAATTTATTCTTCATAATCATATCAATTATAATCACATGACTTCGAAACTTGAGTTTTACGGCTTTCTCTGTTCTCTCCTATTTGTCGTCGTAGGGGTAGTAGAATTTTCCAGATGTCCAACTGGACAGGTGTTGAATCAATCCTATAACACGTGTTTGCAGTTGATTCGATAAACAAAGCTTCTCTTATCAATCTCTCCCTCCATCCTGTGACATTAGATTTTAAAACTTTCATCCTATCCCATCTATCCTATTGTATGTTTGTGTGAAATTGCATGTAGTGAGTGGTATAGCTGAACTATTCTCTAGATTTCTTATCTTATTTGTGTCAACTAATCTAGATTTTGTCTGGTTTTAATGTTCGGCTAGTCTAACTGACCGCACCTGTTCTACTAGTTTGACCTATGTATTTGACCTGACAATCATTCCAGTATGGAGGGTATTAGATAAACTAAATTGTTTTGTTTTAAGAGCTCCACTGTCAGGATTGATCCTTCAATCGACAAAGCTTGTTTCTAATTGAGTTTGTGGGTTTGAATGTCAGTCACTTTTATTCCTGCCTTGTTAAGGATTCTGTGTAAGGTTTCCGAGATTCTTTCCTTGTATGGAATTACTACTGATGATTTAGATTCCTTATTGTTGGTGTCATCATTAATATTATTATTATCACTATTAATATTATTATCACTATCGCTACTATCATTATTTATTTTATTTTAACATTTCCTTACTTATTTCCTGACTAATTTATTCGGGTAATTATTAAGTTTCAAGGCTTCTTTTATGTGTATCACTTCCTGTCTTAGATTTTCCCTGATACTACTTAGTTTTTGTGCTCCGTCACCTGAACATTTCACCAATCCTATTTTTATTGACATAGGATGGGATGATCTGAAGTCCAAATATCTGTTTGAATGTGTGGGTTTCCTATAAACACTAGTGTTTAACTTCCCATCTTCTTTCCTTTTTACGTTGCAATCTAACATTGGAAGCTATCCTTCCTGACTTTCCAATTCATAAGTGAATTGAAGTGCCTCTAGAGTATAGTTCAGCTATAGCACTACATGCAATTACTATAAGATGGATGGTATAAGATGACAGTTTTAAAATCTAATGTCACAGGATGGAGGGAGAGATTGATAAGAGAAGCTTTGTTTATCGAATCAACTGCAAACACGTGTTATAGGAATGGCTCAACACCTGTCCAGTTGGACATCTGGAAAATTCTACTACCCCTACGACGACAAATAGGAGAGAACAGAGAAAGCCGTAAAACTCAAGTTTCGAAGTCGTGTGATTATAATTGATATGATTATGAAGAATAAATCTTGTTCGAAACTTCGTCATCCAGTAAATAATAGCGTTTCACTCACTGTGTGATACATTTAATAAACAAACTATTATGGAACTACGCACTCTTTATTGCCTATGAACCCTTTGACATCAGATTCTATGCAAAGTGTTTACAATTGTTGAACTTAACTCCTCTCTCTGTGCATTCTTCCAATATATGTGTTTGGTTAAGCACATGTTAATAAACGGATGAAATGCGAAGTAATATGAGGTTTGAGGAGTATGAATACTTCTCATTGTGATTAACAATGGTCTGTCTGATATTCACGGACAAGCTTGGTAACTGGATTTGTTTATTTCCAGCACGAAGTTCTGTCTGCACTTTATTCTACTGGCAACATCACCTTTGAAGGCAATCTATAGAAAGACAGACGCTTTCCTCACGCTACTTTTTCATGTCTGCTGAGTAGCTTCTGTGGATAACTCTTCTTCGACTCTTCCCATCTGAGTGTAGCTTTCTCATACATTCAAATAACGTCCTGACCAAACTTCTTTTGGTATCTTATAGGGCAGAAGCTCTTGAAGTTCAAATAAAACCCTCCAAGTCTCATTTTTGTGGACCTAATTTACGATTTTATCATGTCTTTCACGCTGGATACCAAGATCAATAAAATGAAACTTGTTTTCATGTTCATAGTCCATAGCAGATCTTATTTTAGAATGATCACTATTCAGGATAGGCATCATTAAAACAACCACAAATGGGAAACGTATCATCTATATTTCCAGGATACATACCTCTCTGACTGATTGCTGACTTCATTCCCATTCGCTTGAGGTTAACAACTTTAAAAATGTCTGCTAAAGTCAAGCTCAATGGATTTACCATAGCAACTCCATCCTTTCTGGCAGTACAGCACACTGTTAAAAATGAAAAATAGTTACCCTAGGCAAATGACACTGAACCTACCAGTCAGATCACTCACTATTCATTATGGATGCTTTCCAGGAGTTTCGTTGCAAATTTCACTCGGACTTGGTTTTTGTGTCCTCTGCTGAAAATTGATGGATAGGAAAGGCTAAAACCTGCATGTGTGAAGGGACTGTAGTGTGCCTTGAATGTTTGAACTTTTATTTTAACGCATTCATGTACTATGGCGCTACGCCATCTTTGTTTTTTCCTGCTTGACTGCTCGCACTTGACTCGTTTCCTCCTTGTGCTATAATTAAACACATTCCTCGAGCTTGTTACCCCAGCTTGTCGACGGATAAGCCGTACACTATTGCTACGTATTAGTTTTGGTTTTTCACTTGTTATACAAATATAATTTATATCAGGGCGCACAACAGTGTATAAGCCTTCTACCTGGACTTCATTCATCAGTACATACAAGGTAGGTGTTGAACTGATCAGAGTTAACCAATGAAAGCAAGTTTAGTAGGTTTTGACGTTAAAACATATCCAGAGGTCGACAGTGGCACTTACAGGACTTTGATTCTTCAGAATTATTGCTTGGCTACTGATGATAAAGCCTTCATATACAGTATTTTTCATGATATGATATCTCTAA